ATATATATATATATCAACGAGTCCTTATCCTATTATTAAAAACAAAAGCTTAAATTTACAGTCTTGTTGGTTGTTCGATTTACAATTCATTCGACATCTTAACCCGCGAAAAACGATCTTGAATTCGGTTGCGTTTGGGCTGGCCGGGCGGTGTTGTTCACATCGCCACGATGGGCTTGAATCGCCTGCCAGTTAATGTACCAAAAAGGTTGCTTATCTCTCGGCCAGGTCTTGATCCTATTTATCAAGTCAATGTCACCGTGAGCATCGACTGGTAAATCAGCTGGATTTATAGTTGTTGTGCTTAGAGACGATGCAGCTGCAGGTGCTTCATCACCTATTCGATTTCCAAGCAGCGTGCTATCGGTACTAATGTGAGTCCCTTGATACGTTCCTTGAGCTCCTTGATACGTTCCTTGAGTTCCTTGACATGTTCCTTGAACTCCTTGATACGTTGGAATTCCTTGACGCACTGGAATTTCTTGAACCCCTTGGCCTACTGGAATTCCTTGAGCTTTTTGACCTATTGGAATTCCTTGAGTCCCTTGACCTACTGGAATTCCTTGAGCCCCTTGGCCCAATGGGATTCCCTGAATTCCTTGACCCACTGGAATTCCTTGTATTCCTTGACCCGCTGGAATTCCCTGAACCCCTTGGCCCACTGGAATTCCTTGAACCCCTTGACCCACTGGAATTCCTTGAGTTCCTTGACTCGTTGGGATTATTTGATTTCCTTGAGCTACTTGAGTTGCTTGTTCTGCCGCTATTCGCTCATCAATATATTGAGGTAGAACCTGAGGCAGACGATTACCGGTACCAGCATGCCATGGTCGTTGCGACTGCACCATGTAGAACACAGTAGCGAAGAGTATAATATATTTCAACTGTAATGGAGAATAATTTCAATTTAAATGGATAAAGATATATTATTTTTAAAATGCTAAGAATTTCGTTTCTCATTTAATAAATTCAAGTTATTTAGGAAGATTATATATTATATAATAAATAAATATGTTTAACTAAGACTCTCTCTCTTTAAAATAACAATGACAACTAATTCAAGGCTCCCGAGAGTTAGCGCGGGAGGAGATGCATGATTATTGTAATGTAAAATATAAAATGATTACACCTTAGATGTAGTGATGTCTTCTTCATTTAAAGTTCTTGTACGTTTCGATTCATTTTAGAGCATTTTCAATTTTCTTATACTATATTATGGTTTAGCATTAATAATAATATTATTGTATAAATAATATTATTGTATAAAAACGGTACATAAACTATATTCTATAGTGTTAAGCATTAAATTTACGATATTTCAAAACTTCATGACCAAGTTGGCGTGTGTTGAAAAGCCACTATAAATTTGATAACTTGTGAGTTTTCCTCAATAGACTGCCAAACCAATATATTGTAGTATAGGAGAATTGAAAATGTTGAAGAGGATTCCAAAGTGAATCGAAACGTACAAGAATTTTAAATAAAGAAGACATCAGTACATCTAAGGTGTAATCATTTTATATTTTCCATTATAATTATCGCGCATCTCCTCTCGCGCTGACTCTCAATAGCCTTGAATTAGTTGTCATTGTTATTATACATCATCTTTAGCTAATATTGATATATTGAAATACAACTCATCATAAAATGAAGATTTGTACAATTAATCAATATAAATATTGCAAGCTATAAAGTGTAAATACAAATTGTCAAATAATCTCTCTTCTAAATTAATATTAATATTAGTAACAAATACAGCTAATGTAATACAAGAGTATTAATTAAGTAGATAAGAAACAATCAAATTTATTTACCATGATTATCGAATATATCGAGGCGTTTACTGAACTCAATAAATACACGAGGATTTCACCAACGGTATCCAACGGGACCGGGAGATTTAATGATTGTGCGATTCACCGTTCGAAACTAAAGTGCCAATGTAGCAAGCATTCCTTCTATATAAATCGCTCGGCTTCATTCTGATCCCCACTACGAAGTCGACGAGTCATACGTCTGTGGAAACTTGACTGCAACTTCCCCCGGTTGTCGAGTTTGTAATATCTTGGTGGACGCAAAAGTCTTCCCGAAGTGATGTATATAAATCGCTGCTAAGATAAGGAAGTATTTTCTGAAAGCGCGTCTGCGAGTCAAGTTTCACAAAGAAAATATACTTGCAATTTATCACAACGATAAAGTTATGTTGTCAGTCACCCTTTTAATTCCGGTTCATTCATGCGCGTAAATTCCAATGTGAATCCCCTATATAAATTCAAATTTGTACAATACTTAGATATTTATAGAATGTCTGAGTGCAGAAAAAGTATGTGGAATTTTTATATTATTAATTGACGTAAACTCATAAATTATTATTTTTATGTGTTATAATTAAGTAAAAGCATAATTATATTCTTTTCTTCTGGTATTAATAAAAATTATATTCATAATAATTAAATATAATTTTTAATTTATGATAAATAAATTGATAAATAATAGATCATTTTTAATTTATGAAAAATAAATTGGTTTTATATAATAAAAGAACTTCTATATTATATATAGAAAAATTATACATTATACATTATAAATTATAATTATACATTAGTCGTTGATAGTGTCAAACACTCGTAGAAATAGAAATATCGTAAAGAAAACAGCAAATATATGTGTTTGACAAAAGTTTAATGACAATGTTACGATGTTATTCTTTCTAATAGTTAATTAATCAATAATAATCGAGAACAAATAATGGATAGACTCATTTCTTAGGTATGCATTCGAAAGATTATGACTATATTGGAATGACTATATCTAATTTTCTGAATAGTAAGCCGTGAAATTGCAATGACAATGAATTTCATACTTTTTTAACTTCGTCAGCACATTTACATCCATATTTATCGTGGCTTTTGCGGTTTTAACAAAATGAGGTATTTAACTAAGCTGATAAATCCACGTTTTCCTCATCACGAATCCGCAGATATTATTCATAAGAAAAGAGATACGAGTTGTTTATTCATATGAATTCTCTATGGAAACAGTGATAGAAAGCAAAAATTACTTTGATGCGATTATGCGAGAAATATTCATTAAGAAATTATATCTTAAACGGTGCCGTAATCTTACGAAAACTTGGAAATTATTGATTTTTGCAATGCTAGCACATTTTTAGTATTCCTGATGAAGCACACCGTCATTTTTCGTTAAAGATGTTTGAAAGATAAATAATATATGAAAACAAGAGCAGATTGCAAAAATTATTACATTGTTCGATAGTTCATGGCAACATAATCTTTATCATGTGCGTACTGAAAAAAAGTATAGAAGATAAAAATTATCTTATTATTTATAGCGTGTTCGCTAAATTTTCATGCGTAACTTTTTACTAAAGATTCTCAATTATTATGACAAAATGGGAGTAATCTCAAAAAATGGTGCAAAAATTTCAAGAATGATATATTTCACAAGTTTTTCATTATAGATCATACGTTATAGACTTGTAGTTTGATAAATATATTATTTTTCCCAACTTATCTGCAACGTTTATCTGCATAAATATATCTTATGTTAGATGCTGCAATTAAGTTCGTTTATAATTTCTATCGATAATTCGCGTGAGCGACAGTAATTACGATAACAACGCAAATAATTAATGACCCCCAGCGGCTGGAACGATGGAAAATTAGTACATTCTCCTCTGAAGATTTTCTTAGAACTCATTTTTCCGTTGTATTTGTCTTATCTTTAGATTTTTATCTCCGCTTGGTTTTCATGGTCAATCATGATATGATTTCCTTATTTGGTCCAAGAAACGAGGAAATTTTGTTTCTTTTGTTCTGTGACGATGAAATGTACTTTCTTATTGGTGGAAGACTCATCATTTATGCCAAATAATTGGTTCAGTCAGAATCCGGTTTTGGCATATCGAATTTGGCATATGGAATTACCAGATCAGTAATTTTCCCTACTCTGCACAAAATGTGTCTTGATAAATATTCTAAATAGCGTAGACACAAGAAATTATTAATTGCAATAATTAACAGTCAGGTTATAGAAAATTAAATAAAAGTTTTAATTTATCAAGACGTGTGAAGTATCTTGTAATATACTGATATACAGTAGTATGATATACTATCAAACATATACATGTATGCACAATAGAAAAATATTTATGTATAGATAATAGAAAATACAATAGAAATTTGTAAATTAAGTATTTGAATAATTGAGGAAGAAAATGTATCGTCAGTCATACTTTAAATCATTCTAAATGAGATTTTCTCCGAAATGATTAGACGAGGTACACAGTATCTCGGTATCTTTTCATGAATTATACTGTCTTCGTGCTTGCGCATTTAATCGAAAGCGTTTTTACGATTTTTTGTTCTCGCAAATTGTAGTCATGCAAAATAGAAATACAGTCGAAGCAAAATATTTACGACCGTTCTTCTCGCCTGGCCATGACGGAATCAGATTGTGGGGATTAAAGGCCGCTGTTGCTGTGGGCTTATGAAAACTGGAAACAGTATCAGATCGGGTTTTTCCCAACCAGCTTTGAACCATCAAGTATGATAAATTTCACCGTGGATGGCGAGAAATCATAGTTTCCGTTAAAAATGATAAAACGGAATCTAATTTTCATAATGCAATTTTCATGACGTTGTCGTTGGAATTGTACAAATAGTAAAACTGCTCGATGAAAGAATTGGCGTAAGTTTTTAAAATCATCTTCTGTGATAAATATAAATTGCGAAAGAATGGATCAGTTGCATTTACGCTATAACATATTATTAATAATATAATAAATCCATATCAATGTGGAAGTAAGTCAATCTCGACTCGTCTAGAAACTTGTCATGTTTATAAAATAAGCAGCTGTCGCATTAAGTTCGGAATCGTCATTAGAATTATTACATCAGATACAGAATTTCTTGCCTGCATGATGAAAAACGATGATCTTTGATATATACATCAATATAAAATAAATGAGAATAACGTTATTTTCTCGTTAATGCTATATTTTCGTATTTATCCGAATTGATGAACACTAGAAATTTTAATACATTTGTAGAATAAAAACATTTACTATAAATAATACACACACACACACACACACACACATACACACACACAAAATCCTTTGTATTATCTATGAAATTCGATCGTCTATACCGTTATCATTAGACTTTACTTATGTATACATATAAATTATGTGAGAAAATAGATTATGTATATAATTATAGATCTTTGTTATAGTCGAAATACTAGTAGTACAGTTATTAAGTCAAATAATATAGTTAATAGTGAAATAATAATTATATTTAAAAAATCTTAGATAATAAATTGTTTATTCGTTATCATATTATTATGAGATGAAATTTGAATTATGAAGATTTTATTATAAAAATATTGTTCATGATATGTATTTTTCTTTTGTTATACCGAACAAAAATTACGGCGTAGAATTATCGATAAGGAAATGTGTTGGAAACCAGTTTAAGCGTAATGTCTTTACCGAAGTATGCTAATCTATCCGATAATATACATTTATCCATTTTTACTTTAAGATTAAATTTATAAGAATATATGTGAGGCATACATATAAACGTATGTAATTATGATTTCTATAACTCAATTAATTAACAATGCAATTATAATTTCTAATATTATAACAAATTATATATATGTGTGTGTTTGAGTGTTTGTGAGAATATTGTTCTCGTGAAATTGAACATCTTTTTATTTTAAAAAGATTTCTTAAATTGTTATATTTCAAATGTATTTTGAGATTCTTGTGATGTACAACTATTTTTTAAAAGATTATAACTGTTTGAAGAAACTTGATAGAATAGATACGTTATTCTTAAATCGATCAATTTAGGCAAGAATAGGCAGGAAAGTGTGTTATAAATGCAACAGTTCGATTTCCTGGTGCCAGGATGGTACGAAATTAATCATGATAATGTTACATAAGAGTCATTATTCCAGAGTCATTTATTTATCTAATCTTTAATCAAGTCTCTTTAAACCTTAAATAATCTGCTTTTATATTTCGAATCTATAATGAATAATTTCTATCTATTGATTTGAACAGTTATACTTAACTTATATAATGCAGTCATTGATATTTATGATTTATTATTATTATATAATACATATTTAAATAATTAAATCAACTAAAGTACATATTTAAATCATTAAATCAACTAAAGTATATTTAAATCATTAGATCAACTAAAATAATTAAAATAATTAAAGATATTATACATATTTTAAAATGACAAAAAAATTATGAAAAAGTTTTACGGATTATTTCAGATTGCATTTAAAAGTTAGATGAAATATTTGTTAACGGCGGTTTATCGTTTAGATCAAAGGTTATTAAGGTTTACCATTTAGATCAAAGGTTACAAGAAGTAGGTTTCTTTTATTTTTTTAATAGAAATGTATCGATTGAAATGATAATGAAAATAATGACAAAAAAACTTAATTTTTTATATAAATTTTTATATAAATTAAATACTTTAAGAATTTTAGATGATTTGTGTAAAGTTTAACATTCCGATGCAAAAAATTAATTATCCTGTAAAAAACAAAATATTTATTTGTTCTATATATGCTTTGTTAATAATTTGATTCATAATAAAACTTTGCATTTTGAATACTTCAAGTACTTATTATGCAATACAAAAAGTTTAGTTTTTTTTTTAAATTTTAGCAATAAAAATAATAATAAGAAATATATAAACTATAAATGTATTGTTTAATAAAAATACAATAATTATAAACACAACTTTCGTAAGTATATAGTTTGTTAAAAAATATTAATATAGGTGCTATATACATCTTTCATACCTTTTCAATCTACACAATTGCGTTCTTATATATGTGTGTGTGTGTGTGTGAATATACATATATACCTTATACAAAATGGACGCTAAAGTA